TTTTTTAGCAATGCTATTCTGTCTGTATTTGTGGAATAGCCATTTAGAGTGGCGCACAAACCGCCGACCATTTACGCAACCAGCTTGTATACTCTAAGGATAGGGTCAGTTAGTTGAATAAAGAAAAGGTCGTCCCCAAGTTTCCGTGTGACACCTGCAATGCAGTGTACGCTTCCGAACCATTTTCTCTATTATTCACTACTCTTAACACCGACAGGAAGTTTCTCAGTCCACTTATACTCATGGTTGCCGTTGAGTCATTTACCCCTCGTGAGGTGGGTATAGTGGCTTCAGAATGGCAGGTTTATTGACATGGAACTCACTGATGGTCTTATTCCTCCGTAGTGACGCGGATAGCACACAGCTAGTAGTCGATACCACAATCACAAACTACCTGGATCCTTGTGATCTGCATCGTAGTTCTGAAGGGTTAATTAAATCATCCTTCTGTAGGAGACGGGAGTAGGAGACTCCCTTAATACACTTGCCTTTGCTCTAAATGACAGGATGATTAGTGTCAGTGCTAGGAGTTGGGGTTAGGGCACGGTAATGGGCATCCTTCCTGGAATTTAACGCAAGGTAACTCGTATTGCGGGGGGATTCCCATTCCCGTGTCTTGTCCATCCTTCCTCTGCCATTTGCGACGACGTACTAGTAGAGGTCGACAGTGCATATATCCCAACTAACAAAGCCAGGGACGCCCAGAATGGTATTCTCTCATATACAATGTCCCCAGCCAGCTATGCCCAATCTCCGGGTGTTGGTTCACCCGAGTTTGAAACCCTAGTCACTTGTTCATAGACCAAGCCTCTTTTCACTACACTGCTGCTTCGTGTCACATTGGCTAATATAGAGAGTATCCACTCACATGAAAGTTGCACTACCTATCCTAGTTGCAGTGGGAATACCGGTGATTCCGTTTTATCTCAGGGGTTAGGGCCTACAACCCACGCAGGCGGTTGTCTGGTGACTGGCAATAGATGATTGAGAAGTGTTGACAACAAGGGCAGATCAAGCGAAGGGGCCATTTCTAGCTTTCTGGCCATCTTTAGCCCATCATTTCACAACTCGCCCTGGAAGGCCTGAAAAATATGACCCTATCATTGCCTTCTTGAACTTTTTTCCTTAATAAACCAACCTCATGCACACTGTCTTCTTTCTGAATTCGTTTTTCTATGATTGGGATGGCGGTTCTTGTCACCATATTTCAAAGCCAGACTCCGGGTTGGCTGTGCTGACCGCCCTTTTTTGCGCTCTCGAAGTTTGTGTTTGTCTTCCCTTCTGTTGGTACCACTCCTTGTCGTTAGGAGTGCAATTTTACGAAGTGATTATTGTAGCGCTACTGTGCCGCCTAGTGACGTGGGCTTTACGAAGGTACTCACCGATACCAGCGAAGAGGCGAGCTCCAGGAAACAACCGAGGGGGAGAAGAAGAAGATGCCATTCCTGATTATTGCGTTACCACTAACTTCGCTTGTTATGGTGGCCACCCCGTGATAGGGGAGGCCACGAATGCCCTTCGGGATCATTAGAAGACATCTTTGATCTCCCAACTTCCTTCTGCTTATGGAATTCCCATATTTCTCTGACCAACCCTCAAAACATATACCATGTCCAAATCCCGCTTTGGCAGATACATTGAGCCAATCGCCGATTCCGTAATCGTTTTCGTAATTATCCTTCCTTCATGAACTGACAAACCCTGGTTCCCTAATTGATCTTGGCGCCCCTGCACCCCTTTTCTTATTCGCCAAGAACTTTTTGTGTTTGCATTGCATCCAGGAGGTCTCAACCGCGTGCATGGTCGTCCCATTCTCGCGGGCGCTGCAAATTTTTTTAGTCACGTGACTGAAGCGTCACCAATAACGCCTTTATCAGCTGACTCCATTCCCAGTTGCCCAAGTAGGATACTCTGACCCCTTCCCCTCTCCCTGCATGGTCGGGGATTGAACGTTGGGAATCCAGTTGTCCTCGAAAGGCATTTGTTCAATGTACGGCGAATTCCCCGAGCCTTCTGATTTTTCGTAATTGAAAGACCTGATTTTTTTAGTGCTATAGCTTAGTATAGTTGAGTGCTCTGAATCACGTAATCTTTCAAAACTGGAAATTTTGTCGGTCATTTTCAATTTAGCAAAAGCTGGTAAATTTTTTACTTAACGTCGCACTTTTGTGTTTTTTGAACTGTTCTTTTGACCCGGCTTCTACTCTTTTTTATCACGTTTTTCACTTCCCGCGCCTTCAATTGCCCAGAAATACTTGTGCCACGAGTTTCTTTTTCTTGTGGCATGTCGACTTCAGTAGTTTTGCCTTCTGTTACAGAACACCAAGACCGAGTTTTGTCAATTGCCTCTTCACCCGACCACGAAATGGTAGCCAGCTGCTCTGCGGATGAAACCATCCGCATCTGGAACTGTTTCAAGGTTGATCACGCCAAGAAACGGCAGGAGGAAAAGGATCTGCAGCGCGGCTTTAGCCTTCCTAAAATAATGCGATAGCGGTCTATTGCAACAACGTTACTAACCGTCTGACAAACTTTGGAATGCTCGCACTTTTGCACTTCCCACACATCGTCCGATGCTTGTGTAGTGTTTTTTTCTATTGCACACCCTGTTTTGAGTATGGGGCGGGCATTTTAACCCAAAACCCTTACTCCTTTTTATCAAATATTTGATGCATTTTAATTTGTTATAGACCGTCCTTATTATAGGATCCACCTCATAACGCCTCTCTTATTTTACTCCTGAGACCTACCATACCTTCGTACGAGATCACGCATCCTCCAATTGTCCTGATTTACTTGACAATAAGCAATCTCAGCCGCTACATGATTATAGTTCCAGCGTATTCAATTTTGCGCAAACTTTATCGTTGAAGGTACTATTACTAGAGATCCACACAATACTTAAGGACCTGGTTTTCTTAGGCGTCGGCTCCGCCTGTAAAATGATAATGGCTGATCTCCCCGCTCCGTCACGGATCCGAAACCTTCGCTGGAGACGACTTTCCGTCTTCTGGGAAACTCTTCATTCCTTACTGACATTAAAGATGGCAGGTTCGCCGTCCGGATTGCACTGACATGTCCGTCCTTGTGTAAATAACACGCCGCGACGTTCTCCCAACAGATAAAAGTACTCGCCAGACTCCAGCTTGTCCCATATTTCTCTTTCTGCCCTACTGCGCCGTCCGTGGTATTCCGCAAAATTACACCGGTGCTTATCTGTTCCTACAGCTGCTAGGAAGGCACTAACGTCCGATCATTTTGTTCCTCTTGTTGCTACAGTGCCTCACTCCCTGCAGATGATTGGCACACATTTGCGTTTATAGCTCGTGCGTTTGTGCGTAGTGCTTTGATCATGACAGTTCGGCCTTCGTTTCCAACAATGTTCGCTATGTGCCCTACTGCTGGATGGGAACAGGGACGGTGAACTAGTTTCTAGTGACAGTGGAATAGCGCAGCATATACCACACACTCCTCCCTCACCTAGGCCCGATGTCAAGACGGCATCGAGAAGACTGGGGGCGGGAAAGGGCTCAGATGGCTGGCACGACGTAGACCGACACCTAAGCGTACCACCACACCCGCGGGTCCACAGCGTGCAATTGACTAGGATTTCGCACAAGAAAAAGAGGGGGTCGGCTCGGATCCCAACTGGTGTGACGCGGGCCTGCGCCCAGGCGTGCTGCCACACCCCCCAGTTGTTATGAATGCGCATTCCCAATAACGCCTGCCGGACTCCGATCTAGCCCCCATATTGGTCCAAGGCATCTGTCGCATGGCCCATTTTAGGAACACTAAAGAACAAAGACAAGACCTCGTCCGTGGCGTCAAAGTGTGCTCACCGTCGTTTTCGGCGAGACAAGCTAAGGTGTCAGAGCTGTTTTAAGAGTCCACATTTTCAGCGACAAAGTGTGGACACGAGTTATTCTGGTCTGCTGTTGCAACTGCTAGTGCAGTCCTCCTTTGTTCTCAGGTGTGCGCGACCTTTGAAGTAGCTGTGGACATGCTTTACCGGGGGCGTTCAAGTGGATATGAGATTGAGAAACAAAGAGCAGCGCGTGGTCCCGTTTGACGCCTGTTGAAGTGCTGAAAGGCTGAAGTTGCTTGTCCCTATTCAAGAGTGTAGCCAACAGTCGCGTTAGGGAAGGAACGTGTGAGGTTAATTGTTCGGGACATCCCGGCTTTGACAAGCTGCTTCAGTGTTTCCTTGTACTTAGGCAGATTAACGGTTCGTCAGTTTTTTTCGCCACTGGCCCCCATTTCTACTAATAAAAAGGGTGGAAGAGACTTCGCGCCGTGTCAGTAAAATCTAGTCAAGCTCTCCCAAAAAAAGTGGAATTAAAAAAAATCACGGCTAAGATTCGACTGATGTTCTCGTATCACGCAGCATATGTGGCATTTAACTGATCGTTTAATGACCGAGCCTTTAATGTATTCGAGGGCAGTGTTCAGCGTAGGAATACTCCTGAGCACCCTGATCGGCCCAACACAGCGGTAAAGGTTGATGAACTAGCGTCCCGGTCGTCTGGTGACTGCTCAAGATCGGCATCCTCCGGAAACCGAAAGCTACACTCCGGCGCCATACAGCAAACATTGGATTTTCACTGTTGCTAGGAGATCCTACTTCTACGACGCAGTGAGACTGTTTTAGCCGCCTTCCTGAACTCCAGTACTGTGTATCCTAGTGTGCTCGTAAGCAGGGGACACGTGACATGGTCACCTTACCCCACTTGATTTCTTCCTTTGGGATATCTTACCTATCGATTTCGAGGGAAAGATCCAGAACCGTAAAACAGTTGAAGCAGACCACCTCCTGGTAACGCAATTTAACTACCGCAACACTGCGCCGCGGATTAACTACTTTATAACCACCCAGCCCTCGAGAAAAGGTGGATTGTGCCACTTACACACGCCTAGCTACCTAAGCAATGTACATAAGTAGCCGGATTAGGCTTCCAGGTGTTCCATTGGTGTGCGTGCTTATTTGACTTTGTGTCGAGACATTACAGCCAATGACAGCCACCCTCTGCGTGCGAGGCCAGTTCGAGGTTCTCATAGGTTCGAGTCGTACAGGCCATATCAGCTTGCTGGGGTTGTGGTTCATCCCCATCATCACTGTCCTTCAGGTTTGTCTCCTTGCCCTTTTTATCTGTCGGTCTAGTGGTCAAGAGAATAGAACAGGAAGGCTAGGCTGAGGTACAAAATTCCACCATTGTCCGCACGACCTAGAGTTGCTCGCGCTACAAAACAAAGGTGTTTACCTGCTGATTTCAGGACAGTCGGACAAGGACCAGAATAGGCAAGAAAGTCGAGTGGTTAGGGGTTAGGGTAGAGTCTCAACATGGGAACTATGTGCTCGCACACGATTTCCACTAAAGTTAACTCCCGGTGTTATATTCTGGCCATTTTAGGCGAATTCATCCATGCGGTCGCGACTCCAACAAAATCTCCCCTCATTGTACCAATTAATTCTGGGGGTTAAACTGGCCGAGGATGCTCTATGAAAAAAGTCCTGGGCATTAGTCTGAATATCTATCGAAATAACCTTTTTAGAAGTACTTTGTAGTGTCGATTTCATATTTTATTGCTTGGAGAGGTTCGCTGTGCGATTATTGCGACGTTGCCAGTAAGACTACAACAATTTGTGTTCTGACTTTTCTAGAATCTGCAGGTTAGAAATGTACTCTAGCCAAATCACGGTTGAGCACGTAGATGCTGCATTGATGCTCGAGCCACAGATCAGCACACGCAAAGACAGACGTGTTATTCGCTGTACTCTGTGCCTCACGACTCAATAATATTCATGATTTTTACTAAAATTGGTGGGATCTCAATCCTGTTGCCCATCGTCTCCTTACGCTTTCGCCAACAATGTTCGGGCGATCAACTGGCAGACCTTCACCTGCTGTCGATCAAGCCTAGATAATAGTCCTATCTATGAATAAAAGTTCATTGCATCTTAGTTCAATCATAGTATAACGAAAGCTGGATAAAGGCCTGGGCTTGGGATGACAAAAGCTGCCCCCTTATCGATGCATGTGGAAACGGTGCGGTCGTCTGTTTGACTAGGGCCAATGGTCTGGTTAATGGACAGATGCCTGCCGGGAGAACTAACAAACACGCACGAAGGTTTGGTACGTGCACTTGGACCATGACCATATTCGCCGAAGACTAAGGAGTCCCCCATCGATCAGACACTTAACCCCGATGGCTGTTCAAAAAATGTGTGAGACGAATTAGCGAATGTATGTGATTTTTCTGCCCCCTGTTCGTCAAGGAAAGGCCGTCTGAATTTAGTTCATGGGTTAGCGTGCCCGACTCTACGACGCCACGGTATTGCTCCAACTTATGTATGATAATTTTCGGGCATTCGAACTTCTTAGTGGTTCTCCGGAATTCATTCCTGATCACTGTCTTGACGGCCTTTTTCGAGTTTACTGGGCTTTGTTTGCTCGACGAGGATTGTATATGTAAGCCCAGGGACTCCTGTAATACGGGAGCAAAGTCAATATTAATTTCATCAGTAGGGCGAATGGACACGGAAATTAATGGAATCTGCTGAAGGAATGAAGAAAGCTCGCACTTATACCATGTGTTTCTTTTACTACTCCAATGGCTACCAAAACAGACTGCCCACTTCGAAATATGTGAAGTAGTGAAGTGTAATGGGAAGGAAATGTAATATTGATTAAACGGGGCAGCAGGCAAAATTAGATCTTGCTCCAACCCTAATCTTTAATCCAGCCTTAGCCATTAATTCAATTATTCTCTTAAGCCTGGCGGGATAGGTAATGCCAATATAACACGTCTACCCAAATCAAATAAGTAGGCATGTATAGGAATAAAATATAGAGCTTGCCTGTTCGTCGCCGTCTAGTCTTATTCGTTCAGCGACGATATTTCTGGGCGTTATGAGCTGAATAAGTTTATTATTACTCCAGCCACCTTATCCTCGAAGTGAACGCATGTTGTGAGCCAGCCAGGTGTTTTGCACTTAACGTGGCTTCTGTCACATTTGACGTTAGCATATGAGAAAAGCTAGATTTGCGACAGTGTTTTTTTTCTCGAAGGACAGGCTTTGTATTTTTTTATCGTTACCACGAACAATCTCTGTTATCGTCAGTGTTAGAGTTCTTGGACTTACCTTACGGCAGATTATAGCCATCCTATCGGTGGCTTCCACATTCTTCTCCGAGTTTAAATTCTCCCAGAGGTTTGTTCATCCTCTGGTCAACTAGTGCCTGGTTCAGGTCTTGATCAATGCAGCTATGTTCAGTCCGTTGGGCACTTTCTTTTCGGAAGACCACTCCATCGATTTCAGCCTCAATGGACGTAGGCATCCGTTCCGATACATGGCACATACCTCTAGCACTTCTCGACGAACTGATGCTCCAATGAAGATGTAGTCTAACGTTTGTCGGTTGCGCAACCGTGGCTGCGTCCATGTGGCACTTGTGCGGACGGTAATACGAAAGACGTTATTACCGGTGGGCATTAACTAGGAAAGGCTCATAGTTGTTGCAGTTTCGACAATGTGACAAAAGACTGTCTGGTCCCAGGTGACGAAGTCTGTGAAACCTATAACTGAGGATTGAGTTAAGAAAGATTCCACAACGAGGCGGGCAAGCAAAAGTCCTGAATTAAAAATCGCCAGGCCTGTACATTGCGATGAGGTAGAGAAAAAAGGAAAAGAACATAAGAAGCGATCATTTGCATGAGTGAAAGGGAGGCACATGTGGACAACTTTCCGGATAAATTTAATCAAATTCCCCCAGCGCTAGCCAACACTGGGAAAATCGAATGGAAGGTGACTTCCCTCTCTGGACATCAGCAAACCACAGATCCCGAGTAAGTGGTAGATGCACCCACCCACATACGATTTCTTTGGCCTGAATGACGACACCAGTAAATTGCATCGGACGATTATTATATGGATAATTTGGGATGTCCTGTTAGTTGTTGACGAATAAGTTCATGCAGTGGCAGATAGTATGGATACAGTGTGAACCTGGAAGATGGACGTGCCAGGTGTTTGCCGGGGCTCCTGACACCGGCCCCTCTGTCGTCCTGAGCCGGACCCGCAGGTAGCCGGCTAAGCCGTTGCGTGACTGCGAGGGGATATTTTGGAATGTACATGTCAGTACTGGGTCTTCATTATGAACACTGCCCTCTGTGTCCTAGTGGCATCTTTGTTCAGCTGGTTTGAAGATCTCACCAGGAACAAACATGATAGTACACTGAGGACAAACGACAGAGGTTTATTCATCAGTGGTGACATGATGATGTGTAGGAGATAGGTCGATCGTGTCAAAACTGCAGTACATTATTCTGGAAACGTAACGTTACTCGATTATGCTGACACGACGATGGTCTTTGTTCGTTGGTTTGCGATACTGCCGTCCTGCATGGTGGACGTTTCGTCCTGACCTCCGGCAGTCTGTTGTCCTCAAAAACTGCTGCTCCATTTTCCCACCAACACGTCAAGCCTTTCGATACTGCATAATTGCTCCTCAGGTCTCTCAAATGGTTTTGGAAACTTAGTGAGGTCTTCAAGGTGTCCTCATGCGTCGCTTTTATCCTGTTTACCTGTGACTACCCATAGCAATGGCATCGCTGAATATTCACCCAGGCAGATGTTTATCATCCAGTCTGATAACGCGGGTGTTTCATCGCATCTAAATATGCTCCAGCATATCAAAAGTGCCGAATACGCCCGCTGTCTCCAGAACCGGAGGGTTCGATAGCCTTTCCTCTCGCTTTAATATCCCTCAGAAGAAACCTAGGCGAAAGTGGTTCATTTTCTCGCCTGACACCAGAATATTTCCTACGTCTCTGCCCCTTGGAGGAACGTTGTCAGGATAACAGCAATCCACATCTTCAGATCCGTTTTGCAAAGAAGATGCCATCAATTTTGGACTGAGTGTCGCAGCCTGCTGAGGGGTTTGGAGTGTCGATCGGTAGCCTTGTCGTCCATCTTGGTGTTTCGCAAAACCGTACCTTCTGGGTACGGGAATTTGTGCGCAACTGAGGGACTATTTGCTACGTGCTTGTAGCCTTTGACTGGTGCTGGTCTCTGCATGACCACTCTACTACATATCCGCTGCAGTTACGACTCTCAGGCAAATAGAAGGCCATGTTCCCTGGCCTTGAGGTCTTCTTGACGGCCTGAATACTACGGATGTCGAGTTGTTTACCGTCGGTTCGGTGATTGTTGTGGGGGCTGGACGAGTCCTATCAGTAGGCGTTCGGCCGCATGGCGGAAAATATGAGGCTGTAGAGCGCGGAGAGGAGGCTTCAGCTCGGCATCATCCCATTTTGCAGTCTCCTTTTCGTTTTTTAGGGGCCAACGACATTTTCGGGTAGTTGTCGTACTCACCACCTGTCTTAAAACAGGGAGGCCAGTCTATTTAGAAAGTGAAGCCTGTCTGTATGTAGTCTTCGCCAGAGTTTGATCGACATTCGGAGTTTTTTGCTGGGCGCCTGCGGCACTACTTTAGTAGTTTCCATCAAAAATGGCGGCGATCAAATGCAGCAGTTGTCGCCAGTTGATGTCTTCTCTTGATTGTTTATTTGTAGATTATAACGTAGCAATTGGGACGCACCGAAGTTTTCAGCCCAGCGTTTCAGAATTTGTGAATGATGGGCCTGTGACGTCTGAGCTGGGCAACGGCGAATTCCCATGAACTGCCTTGAAAGCCATGAGGAAATTATTCATTTCACTGCGTTTAACGTGACGCCGAAGTTTGTTGCCTCTCTATCGACACCAAAAAAAACGTATGGTTTTGCTTGCGTTGGTCCCGTTTTCAGCTAGGTCCTGTGCAGCCTGTTTTTCTAGCTGGGAAGATTACGGATTTCTCCGTCCCTGTCTCAAATTCTGTCTTGGTGTTATTGGCGTTTTTACTTAAGGAATTCCACGGCAGTGGCACGGATCTGCCCTGTAGTTTTTCCCCATTCGATCTCAAAATCCTCTTTCCATAGCATTTGCATTTGCTCTAGACTAATGCTGAATTTTGTTGCTGAAATTCAGTTTTCGCCCAACCATGCCCAATATTACAGCACTTAACTTGCCTAGTATATTCTTACCTTGAGGTCGACTGTGAAGTTGGAGTTGCAGGACGACAGGGCACTGAACTATCACCCTTTTGACTGTCTTGACACCGGGTCCAGGTGGGGAGGAGGGGGAGAAGAAGAAGAAGAAGAAGAAGAAGAAGAAGAAGAAGAAGAAGAAGAAGAAGAAGGGGAGCGTGCGTTAGATGCATCGAAAGTCCGTTATCACTACAAAAGAAATCACCTGCAAGTAGTAGGGCCAAAGGACCTCGCACGAGAGGCACACCAACAACACCATCCGTAGCTGTCACGGCAGCCCCGACACAAACAGTTACAATACAAGACGACAACAACCAGCGAGGAGACGAAAAAACAAGAGGAAAAAAGAAATCTTTCAGTAAAAATGTCGAGAGGAATGAACAGCCGATTCCGAGGAATGCTTCCGAAGAACCGGAATCACAGACATCAGCAATCGTGTCGCCCATCACGGGGAATGGCATGGGTCCTAAGGCCTTAAATCTATCGCAAAAAAACTGTCCAGTTTGATGATAATGCAAACGAAACAGAGACGAATGAGGGGCGTAATCGACTGCGGCTTATGTCATCGTCAGATCATGGCAACCATATATTGCCTTTTTCGGGGCACGAAACCACTGCGATCTTGCGAGAGTCGCCGGACAGAGGGCAATGCCTAATCATTCAGGGACTTCCAGAATCCGCAGCCAGTATCTTCAACGAGCGGGTGTCGGCAGACCCGCAACTCTTCCAATGTCCCCCCAACGAACTTCTGCGGCCCAATGAGGAAGTTTCGGTGTTCAAGGCCTTTATACTCGGAAAGCGCTCAATCGACAAATCAGAGCATTCACTTCCCCGACCACTCAAGGTTGTGGTAGCTAACCAAGGACAAGTAGGACTTATTCTTCCACGACGATTCCGAATCAAAGACACCAACCGCGGCGTTTTTTTCAGCCGAACTACACATCTCCCGAGATAATAAGGCGTCGACAAATAGTTCTGGAACTGAGAACAAGATTGCAGAATGGCGAGACGAATCTCGTGGTCGACAACGACCAGATAATGCAGCGCCCTCCCCTAATTCGTTGGACGGAACCGATTCAAATGAGAGCATAACAGCTTCTTTAAATAGGAACTCAAGCGGTACCGTAAAAAAAACGCTACAAAACTCTGAAATTAACACTTTTTACACCAACGTGCAGAGTATACTGTCCAAGTTAGATGAACTGAAGATCTACATCTCTGACCTTTCCCCGACGTTATCTCCTTGACAGAGACCTGGCTGTCTGAAAACGTGATGACCGCGAATCAGTACTACCAGGATTTCAGTTGTTTCGAAGAGATAGGAGATGGCGTCAGTAAGGAGGAGTCGTCACATACGTAAAACACGGACTGCTTGTGTCAAAAAAAAACAGGACATTTTTCGTGCAGCATCAAGACTATCTGACTCACTATAAGGATAACGGGATCACATAGTCTTGAATTTCTGAACGTCTATCGACCACCGAGGAGTGACTCCGAGGCTGATGCTCGTCTGTTAGAGGAACTAGAACAGTTTGCTGTCCGGCCTGACGTCCTGATCATGGGAGACTTTTATGTACCGCTCCTTGACTGGAGTTCACTATACGCGCGCGGTCCAGAACTAACTTTCGACCGACGTTTATTGGACATGACACACAGGTCATTTCTCACTCAGCACGTCTTATTCTCCGCGAGGCTGCGTGAGGGGCAGCAGTCAAACTGCTTGGACCTGGTGCTCTCGAAATCGCTGGACAGCATTGATAAAATGCAATGTCTGTCTCAGCTAGGTCGAGGCGACCACGTCGTACTTCACTGGGACTGTACAATCTTTTCTGTGCCTGAACAGTTCACCAGAATTAAAAATATTTGGCATGGTGACTCTGATCAAATGAAGGCCGAAATCAACAAAATAGACTGGGAATCAGCTTTCGCCGGCAATATAACTGAGGATTGGAAATGTTTCAGTGAGTCATTGCATGTTTTCCTGAGAAACCACTGCCCGCTTTCAAGGTAAAGGGTAAAAAATCAACCCTGGTGGCTGACTCAGGCGTTAAAAAAGGAAGTAAATAAAACGTAAACGAAAGTAAAAAAAGTAAGTAAAAGGAAGTAAAAGCGGAGATTGTGAAAGAAATCTCTCACTGACGGGAATCCTGTATCCATAGACGCACGCAAAGCACAGAGGAACCTACTCAAACGACTTACCATCAGGACACGGCAAAATTTTGAAAAAGACCTACTGAATTGTGCTGTGCAAAATCCAAAAGTATTTTACAGTTACATAAGAAGCAGCACGCGAAACAGAGATCCTGTCCACTCCTGAGGACGAGCGGAGACCTAGAGATTAGTGAGGATGGAGCAAAAGCTGAACATCTTTCAAATTTTTTTAAATTCATCTTTACGAGTGAAAGCGCATTTACTCCTTCTGACTACGACTTCGATGAGGGTCCACAAATTGAGGCTGTATCTTTTGATGAAGCGACTGTTAGTAAAGAGCTGATGGCGCTAAATGAGTCGAAATCACCGGATCTAGACGACATATTGCCTAAGTTACTGAAGGAGCTCGCTGCTGAACTATCCAAACCCCTGTCCATGCTTCTCTAAGCCTCGTTCGAAGCCGGCTGTTTAGCCGCCGATTGGAAATCTGTGCGGATAGCACCGCTATACAGAGGTGGCTGCAAGGCCTCTGCAAACAATTACAGATCAATTAGCCTCACTTTCATCTGCTGCAAAATTATGGAAAAAATAACTAATAGAGAGCTAACACGCTTCTTAGAACGTCATACTCCATTACCCGATGCGCATCATGGGTTCCGTAGCAGCAGGTCTTGCGTGACGAACGTGTTCTACCGTTTGGAACGTTGGACTCGGACAGCAGATGAAGGCAATATGCTGCATGTAGTTTATACCGACTTTAAAAAGGCGTTTGATAGTGTCCCACATCAGCGACTCCTGTACAAACTCAGCCGAACAGGCGTTAGGGGTAATCTCTTAGAATGGATCCAAAGCTTCTTATTTGACCATTCTCAAAATTCCCATGTCGGTGGCCAGCAGTCGGCGGAGGTTGCCGTTGAAAGCGGTGTTCCCCAAGGCTCAGTTCGGGGTCCCACTCCGTTCATTTTATATGTCAACGATTTTGTTATTGAACTGAATTGTGATGTCGCCGTGTTTGCGGATGATATTGAGCTTTGTAGCGTCATCCAAACTACAGATGACGAAGAGCATTAACAGGCGAACCTAAACCGACTTCAACAGTGGTCGAAGGACTGGCTTTTGCCGTTCAATGAGAACAAGTACCATATTCTACGAGTCGGCAGAACCAGCTCTCCGAACCGCATGGTTTACTGCATGAATGATATACCACTGTAAGAAGTGGACTCGCAGAAGGACTTGGGAATATGGATTACGACCTCGCTCAAGCCCTCGCTGCACAGCGCAAAGGTAGCCAAGTCTGCGATGTCAGTTCTCTGCCTTGTCAGGCGGGCCTTCTCTGCCCTCGATGAAGAATGCTTGGCAAACGTCTTCCGAACATTAGTGCGGCAACAATTGGAATTTGCTATCCAATCTTGGAGACCCTGGACCGTGATGGATCTCAGCATCCTCTAAAAGGTTCAAAGGCGTGCAACGAAACTTATGACAGGACAGGGTTCACTACCGTATGAAACACGGTTAGCTAATCTTGATCTCTTTCCCTTGAGTTACAGGCAGTTATGGGGTGACCTGATACAAACATTTCGTATCATACGCGGTCAGGACTGCAACCTTGTGTCGAGGGACTTCTTCGAATTAACCTGGGAGGTCATCCATTCAAACTACGTGTGACCGGGGCCAGACTGGACACACGAAAGTTCTTCATCTCCAACAGACTGCTCGAAGCTTGCAATACCCTGCCTCTGGATGTCGTTATGTCCGCGTCCGTTGAGGTCTTTAAGAGGAAGCGGGATTCGTATGGTGGTGTCGATTATAATACCACCCGATCCATCTAACCCTGACAAGTGCACAAAATCCTATTGTTACAATACTACTTGCATTAAGTTGAATTTCTTATTGTCTCGAATCCATCGCCTACGCTTACTGGCATTCACCTACGCAATTTTCGTCACTGCACTCCAAACAACCACTGTACAATTGCTCGTACAACTAACACTCAAGACAGTTCGTCTATCTGTACAGAACTGACGCTTTCCCGATCATTTGTTACCTTTAAGATATCTTTTTTCAATTTTTGGGAAGTGTAAGTTGCATGGAAAGAAATAGGAAGTTCGAAGGTGCAGACCTACATTTCCCTCAAACAAACTGAACCGAATTGAAAGATATCAGGCAACAAAAGAGAGTAAATTCACTCCAAAGGGACAGCGAGGTGGCGTAGACGGAGATTTTTTCTGTTTGTCGGGTTTTCACCGTTAGTTGTGTAGAAAACAGTATCAACCAGCACTCCTTGGCGCACCTATTTAAGTCCCTTTCCTGGGGAGAGGTAAGAAGTGCGCCCCTGTGTAGGTTTGTGGCGAGACTCGGGAACGAGGTCGCACTTGGAATTGAATAAACCCCGGTTGCCTCCAGTACGGGAGCCGTGGTAATAGGGGTTTTATGGGTGGGGCTACGGGAAAACACCGAAGGATATGCGAAAACTAAGAGGAAAGCGGGTGTATCAAGGGTAAATGTGTTAGTTTCTTTTGATGGATACTAAAATTTCCGCGTAAACAGCGCACAATACAAAAATTCAATCAATAAAAGTAATCAATAAAATTAATTCCAGTAGGAGTACTTACGATTGGCCTATCAAGGTCATCGAAAATCAACCCCCAAGTAGGTAACCAATCAGACGGAAGTCGTGTGAAATGGGTGTAACATTGGCAGTAAACCATCTTTCCAAAAACTGGAGCAAAAGATCAGTTGGAAACCTCGTAAACCACAAACCGAACATCATGCCTAGCACAGAAGATAGGCCTAACTCCACACAGTAAAAATTTATTGTGGAAGTTGTCGCTGATCATAACCGTCAGCAGCCAAGTTAACCCCAAACCGAACACTGACATAAGCTATCGAACCGCGCGGTTTGAATTTTGCGTTGCAAGACGGAAGTTTTCCAATTGAGTCTCTTCACTGAAAATGACTGTCCTTCACCAAAAAAGTGGATTATAAAACGCCTTTCTGACAACGATCCTCCAGCTATCTCCATCGATACTCTTATCGTTCGATCAGAACAAACTTAAGCAAAAACGGTCTTTCTGTCGGAAATCTCGGCTTGTCTACAGGGTCTACCCATCCAATACACCGTCTCCAATTGCTCACCGAAGTTAGGAGCAACATCTACGAAAAGGCTGAGTCGATGTTTCTACACTGCTTGCTGTGCTGCTTAAATTCGGACAACTCGAGTTGTCTCACTAGTGAGCTCTGAAAAACGGGCTAGCGAGGTCGTTCCGAGCTTGGCCCGAGCTCCAAAAAACGAGCTCCAGCGCTTACCCAACCAGGAGTCCCCCTCACTTGTGCTGCCCAATTCCCATTAATAACCGCCCTTTTTTCCCGGTATGGTAAGTATATGAACACATGTTTGGTCTAAGAGAATTTTATTATAAAAAAATAGTTATTAATATATCTGTGTTTTAATACAATAAAAGATTAAGCCTGTTCCTCTCTGTTGTAATCGGCGGCAGGTAGGTCAGGCAACCACGGTTTCAGAGCCTTGAGCAGATCGTTCAAGTGGGAATGCGGAATTTTCGACCGTAAAGCCCACTTTCGCAAACTTTCACGAGGGCTTGGATCTTCCTCCTCAACTTCTGCCGTTATACCAACTTCTTCGTCCGTAGGCGCACTCGTACCCTCCGAGGAAGAAGAGCATTCATTTGCCATAGAAGTTGAGGACATAGAATCATCCGTGTCGCTTTCCGACCAGCTACCGGATGATGTGTCCGACGACGGCATTTCACCCATCTCTTCGTTGATTCTTCGTATAATTTCTTCTGCTTCCTTAAGTGCTTGGCGCCGTATTTTACGCCTATTAACAGGAGTAAACATTATTGTGAGAAAAATAGGAGCACGGAGAACACAAAGAAGAGTGATATAAGGCAAAGACAGGCAATGGCAGCGTTGACTGGGACACGGCGTGCGCAGTGCAGCGTGAGAAAGCAAAAAGTGGCACCGGCGAAAGCCGGAGGGCTATCGGCCGCCGAGGCTAATCGATAATCAAGTGCAAGTATGCGCGGCCGCTTGCGCCCTTCGCGTCGCCGGCGCTCCCGACCCAGGAACCAATCAAATCACGAGCAGGCTAAAGAGCCACTACCCCCCTAGAGTACGTTAGCTCGCGGCGAGCTCGCTTGCTATTAGGGCTTTACCATAGATTTACCTGAAAAAAGCGTTCCCTGGAAACTTTCGGCGTATCCAGCATAAGCATAGACACTGTCCACAGTTGTGCATTAGGAAATAGCTTGTTATTCCTGCAGATTTGTCCGTTTTTCATAAGTCCACTACATAATGACGATTTGCGCAGCCACCCAAGATAAAGCGCCGCATGACGGAGTCGAACCACCGACCACAGACATTTCAGTCGCGCACGCTAACCCCCCGGCCACCGCGGCACGACGGCGAGCGATATCGCAAAGTTTACTTGATAGTAAATGCGTGCCGCATACCGGTCGATTTTGCAATGGATGCGAGATATTGGCCGGCAAAATCAACCGCCTTGAGGAAGAGATGGAAAAGATGAAAACTCTTCTACAATGTAAACTAGACACACTTGACGATGCGAATGTACCTGTTGGACGAATAACAAGAAGTAGGGCCAAAGGACGTCGCACAAAAAATACGCCATCAACAGCTTCTGCAGATGTCATGGCACACCCAGCACGAACACATAAAATACAAGACGACAACAACCAGCGAAGCAACGATAAAAAACCAGAAAAAAAAAAGAAATCGTGCAGCAAAAAGGTCGAAGGACATGAGCAGCAGATCCCGAGGAATGCCTCCGAAGAACCGGAACCAGGGACGTCGGCGTCCGTGTCGCCCATCACGGGAAATGACATGGATCCTAAAACCCTCAACCTATCGCAAAAAACTTCCGACTTTGATGAAAATGCAAACAAAACAGAGACGAATGAGGATCTTAATCGACTGCAGCTTATATCCTCGTCAGATCATGGCAACCACATATTGCCTATGTCGGAGCACGAAACCACTGTGTTCTCGAGAGTGTCGCCGGTCAGAGGACAATGTCTGATTATTCAGGGACTTCCCGAATCCACAGCTAGTGCCTCCAAAGAGCGGGTCTCGGCAGACCTACAACTCTTCCAATGCCTACTCAACGAGCTTCTGCGCGCCAATGAGGAAGTTTCGGTTCTCAAGGCCTATAGGCTTGGAAACCGCTCAATCGACATATCAGAGCACTCACGTCCCCGACCACTCAAGATTGTGTTAGCCAACCAAGAACAAGTAGGACTTATTCTCTCACGACGATTCCGAATCAAAGACACCAACCGCGGCGTTTTTTTTTCAGCCGGATTACACACCGGCAGAGAGAATAAAACGTCGACAATTAGTTCTGGAACTGAGAACAACGTTGCAGAATGGCGAGACGGATCTTGTGATCTACAACAACCAGATAGTGCAGCGCCCTCCTCTAATCCGTTGGACCGAACCGATCCGGATGAGGGCACAGTAGCTTCCTTAAATGGGATCACAAACGGCACCATAATCAAACGCCCCAAAACTCTGAAACTAACATTTTTTTACACCAAAGTGCAGAGTATATTGCCCAAGTTAGACGAACTGAAGATCCACATCTGTGACCTTTTCCCTGACATTGTCTCTTTGACAGAAACCTGGCTGTCTAAAAACGTGGATGACCGCGAATTAATGCTACCAGGATTTCAGTTGTTTCGAAGAGATAGGAGAGAGCGTCAGGGAGGAGGAGTCGTCAAGTACGTAAAACACGGCCTGCTTGTGTCAGAAAAAACAGAACAGTTTGCATGCAGCGCCGAGACTATCTGGCTCACTATAAGGGTACCAGGATCACATAGCCTTGAAGTTCTGACCGTCTATCAACCACCGAGGAGTGGCCCCGAGGCTGACGCTCGTCTGTTAGAGGAGCTAGGACGATTTGCTCTCCGGCCTGACGTCCTAATCATGGGCGACTTCAATGCACCGCTCATTGATTGGAGTTCACTATACGCGCGCGGCCCAGAAGTAGCTTTCGACCGACGCTTCCTGGACATGGCACTCAGGTCATTTCTCACACAGCACGTCCTATTTCCCACGAGGGCCCGTGAGGGGCAGCAGTCAAACTGCTTGGGCCTGGTTCTCACGAAATCGATGGACAGCATAGATGAGGTACAATGTCTGCCTCCCTTAGGTCGAAGCGATCACGTTGTACTTCTGATCCTAAATCTAATTCTAATCCTTACCCGAACCCTAGTCCCCTAACCCTAACCCCTTACCATAATTCTAAACCTAGGTGTGCTAATTGTAGCACACCTACCGAAATTATTGTTGGTAGCAAAGTTATAAATTGTTGGCCAAAGGAGGCCGCGTTTCCGAGCCTCATCACTACTTTGTTACACATACTCTTACATTACACTCCATAGTCATTTCCTCTACTAATTACTTCACCACATTGTTCATATTCAGTTTTATTTCATTCTATGCTAATTAACTTTGACGACACATTCCGTTTCGACTGCACCAAAATACGTATGGCTAACCGATGGCGGGTTCTTCATCGCCTCTTGCCCCTTCTCTCTACGGACGTCAATGAGATCGTTGGGTCCACTGATGTGGCAATCACATTTGGCCTGACATGACTCATGATATTTAGCGCGGGGTCATGCGATCGGTTACTGTTACCCGATAGGGGTCTGCATAAGCGTTCCAGGTGGCTGCCCAAATCCGCTACAACTCACGGCCGATGCAGTGAAAAAAGGATCCGAATTGGCTGACGCCGCACACGGGATTGCATGTGGTCTATTCCGTAGGGTGGGAAGCGTGCCTCCACAGCAAACCATGCGGGAGACGCGCTGGACCAACAATGAGCCAGATTAGGGTACGACACGCTTTAGCCGGGCTGCGCATCCCATAACAACTGCCACATGGAGGGTATCGGTAGGCCTGGGCGCAGACTCGTGCCGCGCTAGTTGCTTGCACCCACATCAGGTGGCCGACCGGCTTGGACAGCGGACTGGTGTCTGGGAGAGGAAAAGAATGAGGCCGACCCCGGGGCCTCCGCCTCCACGGCACTTTGGCGCATTTTCTTATTATAAACACTCCGCTGCGCTTTTAAACTATAGTGGCGCGCTAAAAGTCGTGACCTGGAAGGCCGGCGACTGTCAGGATAACTTGGTCCTCCTCTCAGAACGGAGAGTCGGGTTCTTCCTGAATGTGGCCTTTATGACACTCCCACCCAGATGAGATCGCAGCATCCTTGCCTTTTTCCGTGAAAACGTCCATCGCACGCGAATCGGGTGTGTATGTGTGGCACGTGTAGCCGGACTGTCTAGCTTTGCCAACTACTGCGCCCGATCCCACCTCCGGTTGTTTCTGTTGTGTCTCACCACCGGGCCCAGGGGATGAGGGAGGAGAGAGTGCGCCAGATGTAGCCCAAGTCTGTTATCACTATAAACTAATTCACAAGCGAGTTGCTGTTGCTGGGCCCAACATGATGTTGGACGCATAGTGGATATGTGCTGAGGCGCCAGGCTATCTTGCCTTT